TCTTCATTTTTAACCTACTTTACCATCCACCCTCTCTCCCCCGGTTCCACCTCTACATTTACAAGCATTTATACTTAAAGGGGTGAAATTTCTCCTGTGTATATTAATTTCTAAAAAATTAAGTCCTTCTACTTTTTCCTTAAATTCTTAAACTTAGTTCTTTTTTCTTTAAGAACCGCCAAAGATGCTGCTAAGCCTGCAATACGCGCACTCGCCCTTTCATATACTTCATCTAGTGAAAGCCTACCCTTTCATATACCTGAAGCCTGAAAAAGATACCCCTTTCGGGCGAAGCCTCCCTGTATAGGCCATCATAGGGAGTTCCCCCCATCCCCGTTCCAATTCCGTGCTCACCTATTGCCAGCCCTTGTTGGACTCTAGGCCCGTTTGAGTCAACACCTAAACATAGTCCTAAGTGTAATTACAATAAGGCAATGGACGAAATAACCAATGTAATGAAGTTGAATGTAAATTGAACTTGACCATAGAGATCTGCTGCAAGAAGACGAGGTGTTCGAAAGGCAAATCTTGTTGCAGGAATCGCTGAAGAATAATTGAGACCACAACACCCTCAATCAGAAGCTCTCAACCTTTGTGTTTGTCAAAGGAAGATCAACCTAGTCAGTTCAACGTGGTAACAGAGCCGTAGGGCAGCTGCTCCTCCCCCCTGGACCTTTTGAGCCGGACAAATCAAGTCTTTGGATGGATTTGTTTTCTTTAGACTCAATTATTTTGATTATAGTGATTTGCAATTGTTTGCCATTTTCATCTTCGAGGTCTATTTTTCGGAGACATATCTTCATGACAAGTGCTGAAAATAGCATTTCGGAGCCTCCAAATCTGAAAATTTTCTGGGGGAGGATACCCCCAGACCCCCCTACAAGGCTCGTGTCTTCCGCACTTGCGTTAATGCCCCCGTTACAAAAAACCTAGCTACAGCCCTGGGTAATGCTAAAAAAATCTTGTGTCACTTTGAAATACCATTCAAATCCACGGAAAGAAAGAGAGACCTAATTTACAAACTTTCGTCTTTCATACAAGAGTGCACGTGCTTTAATCCATCAGCTCAGGAGTGAACTTAGACAACATAGGGATCCTTAATTTAGTGTGATTAACAGCCCGCAAAAACGTTTGAGATTTAACAGGAGACGGACCGTAAACAAAAAGCTATGCCTTTTTCTACATACCATTCCTAATTTTTACTGAAATGTTGTTAATTAGCGATAAACACAATGCTCTGTTAAAACCACCGTAAAGTTTGTAGGGTAGCCTGCTTAAAGGACTTTGCAGGTGTGGTCCTGTGGTGTCGCACGGTATTTCTGAAGTTGTTTGCGAGAGATTTCCCAAAGATTAATTGTCATTCTGTAATTTAAAACATTGTGCTAGTGCTCGAGAATAAGAGTGGCTGTGTCCAAGTGAATACTTTGTAGCTAATTGTCGTGTATTACACCTTGGGCTGTCATATTAAACCCTACTAGTGGCGCCCGGGGATACTGACTTAGTTAAAACGGTCGTAGAATGAATAAATACAGCAGCACGGTATTTCCCACCCAGTAAAGAATCGGAATCAACAGTGATTACATTGTATGATTATCAATAACTATCACTTCAAAAACGATATAATAAGATAAAAGAACTGATCGATACACGGTCACTCTGGGAGAATGCATGACGGGCCACAGTAGTTAAATGATTTTAATTCGCGTAAACATATCTTCTTCTGCTGCTTCTTCCTCGTAAAAGAAATAGACCTAAGGGGATTCTAAGTCATATAACGTTCTTGTTTTTCCGTGGAAAGAAGGGATATTTTTCCCTTAAAAATATGAAATACAGGTATTATATTTCCTTGTATTTGTTGAAACGACGCATCTAAGGCTAATTTGCATACGGAGAATGAAGTCATGTTCATCGTCGACAAGAAAAAAAAACAAGAAAAAGCGATTACCAAGTTTTCTTCACATGTTTTCGAAAGTTCAACATTTAAAGGGTCTAATAGCATTTGGTGGTAACTAGAAACGTTAAAGCTGTGGAAATTAGTCGATCCGATGCAGACCGTTAAAATTCCAGCTTTGCTGTCAAAATGGCGAATTTTGGAACATTAACGGAACTTTGTACAGCACGCAAAGAAGAGTGCCCACAAATTTTAAATTATTGTATTAAGAAGTAGACTGGTCTTAGTACTTCTCTTTTACCATAGACTTGAGTCTGGGTCAGGCGCCACTTTTGCGAATACCGTTCAGCTCTAGTTATGCGAATTACTTTTCCTTCTTATCAAATAAAAGGACATTTGAAAAAAATCATATCTCAGCCAACTTTTCACAGAATGCAACCATTGAACTTTGAAACTATTAACGAGAGTTAAAACTTTTGTGTGTAAAATAATCAGCTTATTCGGCTTTGTAAGGCAGGTTTGCAAGAGCCCTAAAGTTTCACCAAAATCGCACCACTTCCGAAGGCAAACTGGCCAGTTTTAGGTGACCGAGAAAATCTTCTTGTAATATAGAGAAAAAATTGAGTTGGTCCAAATAAATGTGATATTTCTTCATGGGATAGGATAGTTATCTTCCACTGGAAAAATCAGGGCAATCTGTGATAGACCGAAATTTGCCTTATCGGCTCTTACGCGGACAGCCTCTCAATTCTTCACTGTCGAAGCATATCTCTCCACATGTTCACATTTTAAAATTTCATTCTCGGTTCTACATCTGTTCTCCGTCAACATCAATTCACCAGAAAAATTTGATAATCTACGCATTCGCAAAAAACTGTAACTGAACTGAAACTGTACTCGTTTTCTTGTCATAACCAACTTTTGGGGATATTTTTTTGCTAATTTTAACTGCAGTTTTTTTAGCATAACCCCTCAAGGCCTAACACTGACCATCCCCTTTCTAAACACTTCAAAGCATCCTTACTCACTTTCGTCGCTAGTTAATTTACGCTTTAAGCGTAACTGGATAACAATAAAAGGACAGGATAGCAACCACGCGATGACTACGAAAACGATATCGTCGAAGCTAATTTGTTTCATTTTAATACTAAGTATTAAAGCAATAACTCTATATATAGCAAAAATTTTTTCCTTTGGTGTCCATGGATGGTACGACTAATTACCCTCCCAGCCTTGATCGTTTGCGATCATTTTCTTAATTGTCGCTAGCGTTTAAATCTCTAAGATCGTCGTTTCATCAATCTCATAGCAATTGTCGAAACTTTGATTTCGTCGGAAATAACCTACACAGGGCCTCACTTGTACTGTCGCAATTTGTAATAATCATCGCACTTTGTAATACCTGTCGCAATTTGTAATAAATCCATCGCACTTTGTAATACCTGTCACAATTTGTAATAAATCCATCGCACTTTGTAATACCTGTCGCGATTTGTAATAAACCGTGTCGCACTTTGTAATAAAAAAGCTGTCGCAATTTGTAATAGCAGTCCATCGCACTTTGTAATAATTTTTTGAGAGTGATTCAACTTCTTCGTCAACATTAATATGATGCCTAAATATGCATATCATTTTTTACCTCGTTGGCCTTGTGTCTTTGGTTTGATCCTTAGATAGGGTAACTCAAGTAGTAATGGATGGTTTATTTCATCCTTTCCATTTTGTGGAAAAACAGTAATCCTCGCTCGGAAGAATTGCAAGGTCTTACGAGTTGTATATATGCAGGGAAGGATAATTTTTTACTATCCCCACGGTATTTGTTTTAGAGGACTCCTTATAGAAAAAAATTGTTTTAAGATGGAATGAGTACTCCTTTTGTTCCTATATGGGGCCAAATCAAATGAGAATAATGGACTAAATGCCCAGCCGGCTCAGTGTAAGACCCCAAGTGAGTGTTATAACAACAGATACATACGAAGGTACTGGTCAGCGACTAATTGGATTTTGTGTTTAGGTTTCTGTTGTGGTTCGACGGTTTGCCGCTTGTGACGTTTTTTGTTTATTTGCAGTAAACATTTTGAATCTTTCCAGGCCTCGTTTGAGTAAGTTGGCCAAAATATGGAAGCCACTATTACTTCTTTAAGACTGCGCGTTAGACAAGGACGGTGAACCACGTGTTGTGTCGACCTGTTATAGGATCTAACAAGGAAAGCTTTAACTCTCCTGGTGTCCTTATTCGAATGATGTAGGATGAATGTTACGATTTGCGGAAATTAAATGCTTTTTAATAATGGCTCGTTTGTGTCTAGATTCTGTACTCTGACAATGCTCTGTCCAGAGGCACATCCCCGTATTGGCCATATAAGGAAGTTCACCCACCGGGTAACCATTGAATGCAAATCACCTAGTACAATAGCAAGGTTTAAGAATACAGCATTTCGTAAGTCAGATAACTAATCAACATTAATCTAAAAAAAAAATGTCTAGGATTGTGAATAAAGTTAAATGTTTGAATGAGCGGAGGTGTTACGTGCTAGCAGACGTTATCATCTTTGTTTATGAAGCACCATGCATATTTTGGCATTATATTAATGTTGACGAAGTAACTTTAATTACTCTCAAAAAGTTATTACAAACTGCGATGGAATTATTACAAATTGTGACAGCTTAGTTTATTACAAAGTGCGATGGACAGTTGTTACAAATTGTGACAACTTTTTTATTACAAAGTGCGACACGGTTTATTACAAATTGCGACTGGTATTACAAAGTGCGATGGATTTATTACAAATTGCGACAGGTATTACAAAGTGCGATGATTATTACAAATTGCGACAGAACACTCACTGCCTGGTTATCGCAACTGACTTGCGCGTTCCGCCGTTCCTTGTAGCGTATGGCGTAGATTCATTGTCGTTTAACGGCCTTGTTTTGCCCAGAAATGTTGCTAGCTACTTCATGTTCTTTGTTTTTGGTACAGTTTAATTGTTGTCGAAGTATATTAAAAAAACAACAACAACAGCAACAACAAATAAACACCTCGCAGTTTTCAAGCTGAACATGTCATTTTTATAATTACAGACTAACCAGCCACCCAGATAGCTTAAGTTAATTAAGTTTACGATCACAAATATTATCTCTAATATCTCGATGACACTACTTCTCTCATCAGACAGGTTACTTCTTATCAGTTTGTGTTAATAATAAAACAGCAATAGTTAAATGTAAAATCATAAATGTTATTCATCTTCTGCTATCGTTTTTAGCACTATAAAGACAATGATTATATGATAAAAATACGCCAAATTGAATGAAAGATGTTTTGAAAAAAGTAACTAACTTTAAAAACGACAATCAGCTGTAGAATATATCATATAGTTAGTTATAGTCTAGTAACTTATTGCTGGTTTTCAGTGTGTCACGCCATTCAAAATAGATCAAAATAACAATCAAAACCGTTTAATAGATAAAGTCCAGAATCTGGGAAATGAAAGGAGGTACATATACAAAGACCCTCGCGAAGATTCAGGTCAGAGGAATATTTCGTATACGAGATATCCGAAGAAATGTTTTACCCAAACTTATAGAGATTTGTATGGAGACGCCATGCTGGTGCTCACCTGGATGAGCTCCAACATGACGGACGGAAACCAACAGAAACATCTGATACCGAGTTTTGCTACAAAAGCGTGAATTTATTCTTCGAGAAACTCATAAACATTAAAGTAATACTTTTTGTAATACATGAACTGTTTAGATAGCCAAATTTCCTGAAATAAGTCATTTTTTTAACCTACATGTGCATGACAACTCTCTTGGCGGTCATGCTTCGTCACGCAAAAGCTTAGAAATTCAAGCGTACTCTATCACAAAACCAAGAACCCCTTTAAAGCGAAAATTTGTATGAAAATCAGTTTTCAGCTGCTCTAATACATCGTGAAAGTAAAATCACGGTAGGATCGATGGTCTTTTAGTTTGAATTTTAGTGACGTCATGTGAAAACCAACAATAGGATCTGTAGATATTAGTATATTATATTTTCATTTTTTAGGACCGAAATTTCCTTATCAGGTTGTTTTTATAAGTTCAAAGCACAGGAAAAGCACCCTCTGTTCGTATGGTCTTTTTTGTTTCTCGGTAAAATCTGAGGATCACTATATAACAGTGTATGGAAGAAGTACAATAAACATTAAGGCGCCTGGGGGAACTTACTCCAAAATAAGGAATTGAATGTCTCAGTCACTTCAAATGGATTTGTTAACTTACTACGAAACGTGTAATTTGCTTTTTCACCGTCTCGAACTTTTTGTGCTATTTTCGCTGGATAATAATTCGGACCAACAGCTAGAAGTAAGGGAGAATACGTCTAGCTGCAAGGCAAATTATGAGACCGCAAATTAATGCTATCAACAGAATGGTTAACTTGCCATATTGCCAGAAATGTTAGTCTCTTTAAGATGACGGCCTCAGTTTCATTTCAGTGAATTTGAGTGAAAGGTCATATCTAAAATGATACCAGCGAAGTCCTGACCAGTCATGCTGTTTGCCCAAGTATCTTCCGTTGAGATTGGAGTTCTGGCAAGCGTTGTACCACCAGGCACCAGTACATCTGACAGCACAGTTACTTCCTTGATTGTCATTATCTCTATCTTTTGTGCTAAACGCTGTGTTATTGTGATGATTTGCTAGCGAATCTGCTGCAGTCCCTGAATATGAACCCACTTTGAGTCGATACTTCGCCTGCTCATCACCAATGTTAAACTTGCCATATTTGGCATACACTCTTACTCCGTTCCAGTCCTCTAGCTCCACTCGCAAAGTACTGGGTCTAGCGGCCGTCAGCCTGTGGATCTTGTCGTTTCCCAACCAGAACTCAGCCGTCAGCTGACCAAAGCCTGATTTGTAATCGTTCCAGCCGCGATAGAAGTCTACCGAGCCATCTTGTCTTCTCTGGAACACGGTCCATCCTCCACCATCAGTGCGCATGTCACAATATACATTGAAGGATCCCCTACCATCCGGGTTCACAGAGTACACTCCACTCTGAGTATAGCCTGACTTAAATAATGTTAAACAATCTGGATCTGAAATAATAAAGACAATTTGTACAAGTTAAAACTGTGTATTTTCACTCGAGAAAGAGTAGTCTTCGACAAAAAGATAATGTTCTAGTATTTAGGGATCTAGCGCGTGAAAAAGATCTCTTAAAGGTGTCAACTATTAAATGTGTGCCACCATAAAACTATGGGACTTTTTGCTGTACTTTCTTGGTCTCAAACAAAAATAACGGAAATTTTGTGCTGATAATGATGAATAAATATTACTTGAAATAGGGTTTGTGTATGTTGAATAGCGAGGTGTGCGATTGACATCGGTGCCAAATTTGCATATCCCTGGCAAGACTCAGACGGAAGAGATAAGGAATGGTGCAAAGTTAAGGTTTCAAATTCGGAGGTAGTCCTTTCATTTCTGTTGGGAAAAAGTAGACGGAATGTCACTTTCCGTTTACCCATCTTAGCGGTTCCGAAAGATTTATTCGTGCCTTTTTGTATTCAAATTGCGAAGAAATAAGGAATTCTGCGTTGAACAGGTACATCGCTTTAACAACTGTTTTTGTTGAGAGGGGGAATTTCATTTCTTACCTAGAATCAATACTGATTATCCCCAACTAAGTTATGTTTATTACTAGCCAGAACATTTGTTGAAATGACACGGCTAAAACTTTTCTTTTTTGTATAACAAAAGAGAAAAAAATTAAACCTTTCTTTTATCCTAGCTATCTTTTTAGTAAGTACGTGAATACTCGCCTGAGTCTGAGGGGGCCATACATATGCAGTTTGTTTGAAGAAGTAGAGTGTAGCGTTTCGCTATTTTTCCTACCTCTTATTGTTGTTGACTTAAGCATACAGCAATGTTTCAGAGTATTTCAGAAAGCTCAAGTAGCCAATTAAACGTCACTCCAGCTACTTCATGGCGGGTTTTCAACTTAAAGAACACGAAAAAGCATTTTCCTCTGTAATCATAGTTGTTAAGACCAATAATGATCCATAGTTAAGACTAGTTTCAAATGCTTTTCTTCCAGGGGCCTTTTGAAAGTGTTTTAGGTAAGCCATTGAAATCTTTTTGAGAATTAAAACAATATGGATAGTCAGCAGGAAAAGGAATACTTTGATTTCAACTAATGAACGTTTTCTGAATTATAAAGATATATATCTGTCTGGATTTGCAAAAAGGTACCTCCAAGATTTTTTAGCAACAGTCTCATTTGAGGATTCTTCAGGACTTGACCATTCTTTTCTTTTTTTTTAAATGGTATTTTCAGTACAAAAATCCCCTAACAAGCTGCAGTAGATAAAAAAGCACGTGTTAATTATGCTGTTTACATTTTCACCACCTCCCCCCTACCTATCATTTGCCATAATTCTCTCCTTCTCATAAAACACTATGACATTTGAAATCAGCGCGCGCTGTAGAAGTTGTTTTCCGTGGTCGGTTTATTTTCTAGATTTCTTTTTGGCCGCCTGCAGCAAAGTTTTACAGAAGGCATCATTAAGCCTTATGAAGGAACAAGTCTCACGATTGGCAAAGTCTGCCCTTGTCCCATATGTTACCGCATTTCGTCTCATTTTGGCTAAACGGGTGAAACACTGATCTCGGGCTTGAGACGGAAAGGTGTCATATCGCCAGCTTTGATGTGGGCGGTGACGAGTCTCTGGCCTCAAAAAGTAGTTTGGTGGGAGTCAAATCTTTTCGGCGAGAGCGCAATTGAAGCTGATTTCTGACCAGACCAGAGGCCTAGTTAAAAATTGTTTTGAAGGCCGGCCTCTATGTGTCCCTTCCAAACGGCTCGTTTACATCCGGGATCTTGAATAAATCGACTGTGTCCGCAAAGTTTACATGTGATGATTTGTGTGGAGAAAGCGAGAGTTATTGACAGAGAGTAATTTGATGAGATTTCGCCACTTTTAAGTGTGGAAACATTGTGCCTGGTTGGTTGTGGATAGTTTTATCAGTGCCACGAACGTGGTTTTAAATAATGAGTGATTTCCTGAAGTTGTTGACAGACAGATTTCAGGTATGTCGTGGCGCTCGTGTTATACGAATATTGCGTAGTACAAGCATAAAAAAGCATTGTGAGTGTTGATGGTGGGTTCAAGAAAGGTGGATTCTAGGTGCCAGCGATTACTTTGTCTGTTTTAAGCCCTAACTAGCGACTTTCAACTGCTTTTAATTCACCTCAAGTGTCAAATTGTTAAAACACACTTGAAATTTCTGTAGGCACCTTTTTGTAAATCCAGACAGATATATGGGTGGAATTTTGGTCAAACATAGATGACGCAAAATTTTTTATGGCAGAAGTGGTATTGAAAAAGAAGAATAGTTGAAAAAAAGGGGAAGTCGATATTGATAGTCTTATATTGTCACTCACTCACGACAGTAGTCGTTTGACCAGGCTCTCCTTTGGTTCCCGGCATGCCCACGGATCCTGTGTCTCCTTTTTGCCCTTTGAGTCCAGGGACACCTTTTGGCCCTACAGGTCCCATGATGCCTTGCCTGCCGCTTTTTCCTGGTGATCCAATAACACCTCGATCTCCTTTGGCTCCCAGCATGCCAGCGATACCTTTATCTCCTTTTCGCCCTTTGAGTCCAGGAACACCTTTTGGCCCTACAGGTCCCATGATGCCTTGTTTGCCACTCTTTCCTAGTGGTCCCGTAGTGCCTCTCTCTCCTTTGGCTCCCGGCACGCCAGCGATCCCTGTGTCTCCTTTTTTCCCCTTTATTCCAGCATCACCTTTTGGTCCCACGGGTCCACTTTTCCCCTGTGATCCCATAATACCTCTGTCTCCCTTGCTTCCACTTGACCCTCTCTTCCCTTTTCGTCCTCGCTCTCCCTTCTCTCCCCTCGGTCCGGGTGGACCTGTCTGACACGCCTCATTTGTTGATTTGCAAAGGCGGATCCTCCCCTCTGATAAAATATTGTGCAATTCTTTAATCATGACGGCTGTTGTTTTCGCTTCTCTCGTATCATTAGCTGAATTTGCATGTCGCTTGCTTCGATAATGCTCGTTGGGGAAAAAATCTGCCGATAAGAATAAGAAATCGTCAGTTCGATTTATGGTTCCTTCCATCAAGCTTTTATTATAAGAAAACCGGTAATATAAAACTTTCGCAAATTTCACGACTCCTTCTTCTTAGCTGAGGGTTGATTACTAATTTTTCTTTCGTCACAATGGTTACCAAGATTTTGTTCCTAATTCATGTCGTTTTGTTGGGTCAGTTTTTCCTAGCTCAGTGATTAAGAGCGGATGTCTGTAAATATCGACCACAGGCAGGAAAAATAAAATTTTTGACAAAGCCCAAAAAAATTATGTAGACTCCCCTAGGTATTCTAGTGATGAAAATATAAATTTTAGTTTCATTGGATAAATATGTTGGCGATACGGCGAATGTCAAGTTCGGGCGATTGACGGCCTCCGCCAGACCGCTTTTTCGGGCCCCTAGACCGGGCTACGAAAAGACCACGATTTCAATCGAATTCAAGTATCATTCAACCCAAAAAGCTTCTTATCGTATTAAAAGGGGTTTAATACACATACTGAGTGGTCATGTTCTTGAATTGATCGCAACTGGAATATTTTATGGATTTTTAAATATTTACAAAATTTTAAGGCTTTTACGCGAGCAAAATATTGTCAGATTTCAAAGGCCTAAAATCACATCCGATACATGATTTCTAACAGAAAAAGAAATTCTACGGTAAAAAGCAATCTCTAAGCTTTCAAAATATGCTTTCAAAACTCTGGGCAACATATGAAATGAATTTTTGGGAACGCAAAATTCACAGAGCACTTGAGTGTAATTTGACCTTTCTGACTCGACAGTCAAGAGGTTCGGCGCGACACAAATCATTCCCTCCAACAAATGTTTCAGCCAAAATACGTTTAATTTAGGCAATCTCAAGTCCCACGGTGATACATAGATGGTTCATATACATTAGGTGGAAAGTTGTCAGCCGTAAAGAACTATTTCTCTGGCCTTCGGGTGCAGTAGTTGAACTCGCCTCGCTAATGTAAACGTTTGGGTCAAGTTCTTATCACGAAACAGCGAAGTTTTCAAAATCTACACCAACTATCTATCTTGTCTAGTAGATAATCAGGTCTACAATTTGTTTGTTTGTACCTTGTTTCCGTGTTTGACTTCATTCCCACAATGAAACTACAGTGCAAAGAAATTCCCGCTCCCTCGACAAGTCACGTGTCACGGGAAGGGGCCGTTTTAGACCTGATTGCGTTACGTAAACATTGCTGAATTGTGAAAAAAAAAAAAAAAAAAACTAGCTTTAGGTGTTCCAAACAATCTCAATTATTTTCTTACCATGCAGCTTTTCCGATCTCAGGCTTGTGATCTCCGATCGTTTCTAACCGCGATATGTACATTACGTGTTCTTTCTTGTTGTTTGTTCGTTTGTTTGTTTTGTTGTTTGTTTTAGTTCAACACATTTCCCCCGTCCTGATATAACCTAAGCGACTGGTCATTATTTATCGCCGGGGGGGGGGACGGGGTGCAGGACTTGGGGCTAAACAAGGTGAATACTAGCCGACCTCCCCTTTGAATGTTACTTCCCTGAAGTGATCCCGGTTAATAACTTTTGATGACGATAGCCCCCCACCACATGTCTTCATTTTCCAGGCAAATTTGAGTGCTCCCCTCTCTGAATCCTTCCAAAGTTTTCAGCGGTCCCCCCTTTTGGGTTCTTAGTTACGAATGATCCCCAGGGGATAAATAATGACCGGTCCCTAATATGTTTCGCAGTGATTATGCAACACGCTAGTATGGCCTATCATGTGCAAAGAGCTTATAAGGGGCCAGGCATTTGACTTTTGAGAGGAGGCGGGGGGATGGAAGAGGTGATTTGAGAAAAAAATATCCTGAAGTCTGATTTTGAGCACAAAAAAGTCTTACAAGAAAAAACCTACCATACAATAGCTTTGTATGTCAGGGAAAAACATTCTATGATTACCAGAGGTTTAGCGGAAAAACAATTCTTACGCAAACCCATGAAGTCACCCAAATTACATGTAGAAAATCCTGCTACTGTCTGATATTGCGCTTGCGACACCAATCTTTGATAGTGCACTCTCGGTCTAAGCTAGTACATGTCTACTTGCTACTGCATGACGAGTGCAATATCGCTGGCAGGCTAGGTACTTTTTTTAATCTAACTTTAAGCTGTCGACCAATTGCACTACTGTAGTCACAATGCAAGTAAACATTATGATAAAAAAAAAAAAAACCTATTATCTCCAACGCTGAGTTATCTGCAAGGAATGGGGTTCAAAAGCGTAGTTTGCAAGCTACAACCCTGGTCAAAACTCTTGGCACACTAACGCAATAGCTCGTCAAATTGAGGCACCTTCCCTTCCCCCTTTCCCCACGGTGCAATGTTGACGTTATGCATTCAAGTCTTAATTCAACACAATCAACACTGTTTGGGGGATAGGGGGACAGCAGAAATAGCCCCTTATAACAACATCCCCAAGCTTTTTTAAGAGGTAGAATATGAGTTAATTTAGCAAAGTGCGTCTTTGTGCCTAATTTCCTCAAGTGTCCCAAGACGTTTTGACCAGGGTTGTAGAGCTATAAATGCATTACACTGTAATGCGCGCGTTTCTGGCTATTTTTATTATTATTATTATTATTATTATTATTATTATTATTGTTGTTTATATCTCACACCACTAGTTGTATCAGTGGTCACGTATCCCTAGGTCATCAAGCTATTTCCTATAGACTTAAGTGTCTAACGGACCAGGGGCGGGGGAGATAAAGATTTGTTCGTGTTACACTGATTCTTCCATAATGAGTTCGAAGATGTGTAGGCACCTACGCAAGTTCAATGGCATGATGCAGAACTGACTGTAAAGTAGAACTTAACTGATCAGTTGGTCTCTCCTAAGCGCACGTACTGTGTACTCGGTTATTTATTACTTGAACCACACTGATCACCCACCCAAAGCTCCATTTTTGCACGCTGTATCGCCACACAAAAGCAAGCACAATTGTACTAGCTGGCAATGATGCTGGTTTATTTTCAGCACTAGAGTAAACTTAGTAAAACAAGACGGTCCAAAAATCTATAAATATCGACACCGCAATCGCTAGTTAAGACCGTGGTAGGACGCCCTTACTTGACATGTGCTTTACACTAGCCTTATACAGCATATAGCGATACAATTGCACAACGCATTAGGATATTTTCAAACTGACAGAAACCAGGACAAACATAGGAAGGGGGAAAAATGTCGAACCACTACCAACAACCAAAAAGAACAATATCTGACCCTAGGCCCGGTCCCAGGCGGGGTTTGGAGGGGGAGGGGAGAGTTGAAGTTACCGAGATGATAAAGGGATTTCTTTTTTGTTTTGAAAATTTTCATCACGGGATTTCTTTGGGGATAAGAAAATTTGGAAAATAAAAATTTTGGTAGCTTGATTTCAGTAGGAATCTCAAAGGGTATTCAAAACAACCTGATTGGTGTAGTACCGCACGTGTACAATGTTAGACTAATGTTGACCGCCCAGTTCAGACTGTCAGATGAGAAAAAGTAAAATTCAGCGGATGGTACGATGAATAAGCCAACCACAAACATTTACTGATCCTGACATTGATCCTTCACGGAAAAGTTTCAAGGCTTGGAGAAATTAGGGCTTGAAAATTTGGGGGATTAATTTTCGGTCCTAAGATTTTTTTCGTTTCGTCAGGAATCCTACAAGTCTGGTAAAATTGCACGGTAAAAAAAAAAAAAATTCAGATTGTCGGTCATTCAAATGGCATATCTACAACATGTAAGATTGAAATGGATTTTTTTTCACAACTCAGAAAAAATCGCTGTGTCGTGTTTACGTAACGCAATCAAGTTTCATGTGGGACGTGACATGTCGAGCGAGCGGGAATTTCGTTGCTCTGTAGTTTGCATGTCACAGTTTCATTGTGGGAATGAAGTGAAACAAGGACACAAGATACAAACAAACAAATTGTAGACCTGATTATCTACTAGACAGGATAGATGGTTGGTGTAGATTTTGAAAACTTCGCTGTTTCGTGATAAGAACTTGACCCAAATGTTTACATTAGCGAGGCGAGTTCAACTACTGCACCCGAAGGCCAGAGAAATAGTTCTTTACGGCTGACAACTTTCCACCTAATGTATATGAACCATCTATGTATCACTGTGGGACTTGAGATTGCCTAAATTAAACGTATTTTGGCTGAAACATTTGTTGGAGGAATTATTTGTGTCGCGCCGAACCTCTTGACTGTCGAGTCAGAAAGGTCAAATTACACTCAAGTGCTCTGTGAATTTACGTTCCCAAAAATTCATTTCATATGTGGCCCAGAGTTTTGAAAGCATATTTTGAAAGCTTAGAGATTGCTTTTTACCGTAGAATTTCTTTTTCTGTTAGAAATCATGTATCGGATGTGATTTTAGGCCTTTGAAATCTGACAATATATTGGTCGCGTAAAAGCCTTAAAAGTTTGTAAATATTTAAAAATCCATAAAATATTCCAGTTGCGATCAATTCAAGAACATGACCGCTCAGTATGTGTATTAAACCCCTTTTAATACGATAAGCAGCTTTTTGGGTTGAATGACACTTGAATTCGATTGAAATCGTGGTCTTTTCGTAGCCCGGTCTAGGGGCCCGAAGAAGCGGTCTGGCGGAGGCCATCAATCGCCCGAACTTGACGTTCGCCGTATCGCCAAAATATTTATCCAATGAAACTAAAATTTATATTTCCATTACTAGAATACCTAGGGGAGTCGACATAATTTTTTTGGGCTTTTTCAAAATTTTATTTTTCCCACCTCTAGTCGATATTTACAGACATCGGCTCTTAAGACGCTATTTTGGTTTGAGTTTTAATGACCTTAATCCAAGCAAAAATCAGCAAGCTCTTGTAAGACTTGTAACGTTATTATCTAAAACAATGCCCTTGAGGTAATTTTAATTCTTAGGAAAAGTGAAACTACTTCTTTAGTTTAATCATGAAATACCCTAAAAATCCGAAAATAAGCCCCGGGGCTTATATTTTTCAAAGGCCCTTTTTGAGGGGCTTATTTTTGGAGGGGCTTATATTCGGAGGGGCTTATCTACGGAGGGAAATTTGCGTTTCAAAATCGATTGGACTTATAGCGTAAAGTAAATTTGCCGTTTTTGCTTTGTTTTACTTTGTATTTGAGGGCAGTTTTCCAAGTACAAGCCCCCGGGGGCTTATATTTGGAGGGGCGATTTAACGGAGGGTTTTTTGCGTTACCGGTTTGGGGGGCTTATACATGGAGGGGCTTATTTTCGGAATTTTACGGTATATTACTTTTGTATTTTTATCATGTCAGAGTATTTGTGTATGGAAGAGTCATTCGCACCGCCTGTGTAAAGAAAAGAAGTAGTAATAAAGCCAAAGGAAGTCGAAATGACCTTTGCTATTTTTTTCAGTGCCACTTAGTTGACAACAAGCAAAAGCGTTTTGTTTTACGAATTGACTCCCTTACGTTTTCGCTCGTGTTTAAAAGTCAGGCTCATTGAACAAACTTTCGTAAACACGAGTGTTTTTTTAGGATAAGACAAAAGACCTCAGAATACATGAATTTTTTTTACCGCCTTTAGGCAAGGTGAAAAGTACATACCGTGAGCATCCTTGATGAACTTGACGATACTGTGATGTGGCTCGCTGAATGGTTGTTTTGTCCTCGCGACGATTTCAAGGGCATCTAACCTCTTCTTCTGATTATTCAACTCTAGTTCAACTCTTAAAAATCCAGCGCAATACAAAACAATACCTAATGCAGAGATGGTAGTAGAAAAAGACGGAAAGCGTTGATTTTGAGCCGATGTCATTTTCATGCGTAACAACCTCAATTAAACAAGCCTTGTTTATCTGAAGACTTGGTGCGTGAGCTTGTTACTTGATCCTGGTGCTGTTTCGATCATTTTCACTCCCTTCTTATACTATAAGATGGCAAAGTTCCAAAATCTTATCTTTCTTGGCATATGTTTGGCGGAAAAGATCAATACTATCAACAAAAGGGGATATCCTCGCTTATGCTGTTTCCGGAAGTGACATACCGACAGGGTCATTATTACTGACAGCAGGTAATATATTTAGTACTTTTATTGTATTGCAAAACGTCTCAGTCTACTGAACTGAACTAACCTTTGAGAGAACATTGTGAGTCCAAACTGTTTTGCGGTTCCCAACCAACAGTTTGTGTACGGTGGAGCTGGCGTTTAAGGAAGTGCAAACGTCGGCGGTAAAGAATTTGACACACTGGTTCGCCGGTTCATACGCACGGCTATGCCATTCTGATGAGCCCCAATAAGGGCGGCGAAACAGCTGTTCATATGGCTGCCACTGCCGGGGTGATATATGATTGTGGGTAAGAGTAAGGAATTGGCCAATACCGCAAAGTTGGTACGTGTGCTTCAGTGCTAATATTAGTATTGTGAGCCCAAGACCTTCTACTGGTTCCATTTTTTAGAGTCACTCATGATGAGTCGACTCTGATAAGGATCTTCTAGCGTTTTATTAAATATATATAAGAAATCCAATACTGTAGTCTTGAATGCAAATGCTTTCCTTGCAGTTTTATTTTAAAAGCTCTGTCTTCCGCTTCTTACATTGAAGTGTGGGACTTACTGTCTACCTCAACCCTTTAAACTCAGTCACATCAAGAAACGGAAGACCTTGATTATATGACGTGAGTCAAACGTCAGGTTCGCGGGAAAAATCTCATTTCTTTCCTTTCTTTGGAAAATATAACTCTTGTATGAAAAGAAGGCTTCCATACGTATGGAAGTATGTATAAACGAGAAGACTTAATCCCCTTAACCTTTTGTGTTGTTTGCCATAAGATAACATACAGCGATTCCTGAGTCCTTCATATGCATATGAATGTACTTCAAGAAAGGTTGGAAAAAACTAAAAAAACAAAAAAAAACAAAAAAAACAAAAACAAAAACTTTGAGACCGCATGAAATTCTAAAATCCGTGCATAAAATGAGAAAACATTCATAGCGCGAGCGTTAAAATTTGAAGATTGAATCGCTGGATTGGGGATTAATGCTCTTCGCCACGTTTTCAAGCGCGTTTAACCTCTCCTTTTGATTGTTCAACTCTAATTCAACTCTTAAAAACCCAACGCAGTACAAAACAATATTTAAAACAGATATGGCGGAAGCAAGAGAAGGAAAGCGTTGTTTTGGAGTCGTCATTTCGAATTGGCGAGTTTCAATATCGTTTCGGCGGTCTGGTACGTGGACCGGTTACATGATATATACTTAACTTTGGTCAAAAATAGGGACTTACGCGTTATTCAAGGATATTATTTTCACTTCCCTTTTCTAAGGAGGCAAAAGTTCATATCCGTTTCGGCATATCTTAAGTGGATCAGCATTAGATTCTACCCAGCTACCCCTTCCCTCTAACTAAATGTCAACACTAACTTCTTGCTTAGGGTAAACTGTTGGGATTTTTTATGGGAGGAGCTGGCGGGTAGGTTTTATGTTCATTGCTATTGAAAATTCTTTGAAACTCTAATCTTATCACAACGGTTTTCCGCTTCAAAACCATGCACGTTCCGACTTGTTAATGAAAAACTGAAAAAAAAATCAACATTTTACTGTCTACGTTTACGTTCAGCAAGAGAGCGAGGATATTCTCTCTTGCTGTTACAGGAAGTGTACATTAATAGAAACAGCAAGTAATACATTTAGTACGTGTGTTGTATTGCAATACTTCCCGAGTCCACTCACATCTACCTCTCGGGATTTAAATGCTGAAAGTATTGCGAGTCCAGCCCCTGGTTAGAAAAAACCTTATTCTGGTTTGTTACATTTTTAATGGGAGGACTGTGAGTGCTCGCCTTTTCTTTCTTTTCCAAAAGCAGCCGAAACAGCGGAGCAGTTCTTTTCAACCTTAAATTGAAAACAACTTCTTGATGATTTCTGCAAAATACCAACTAATTAAGCCTCGACGTGGGAGTATCGTTAAAAGGGAAGCTTGAACAATCTCCCTGAACCTGTAGATTGGATGGCAGAGCAGCGCATCGTTTTCGATTTTTTGTTTTCTCGTCTCTATTTGAAATCATTAATTTAGGACTTGGAAAATTATTCCTCCAGAACAGTTACAGTTTCTCTAAGGCTGGCACGCTTTGCGCATGATATAGGCAATGGGATCGTTCATATATGCTGAATCATCTCAAAACCTTGGATTAAACGCGGAGGCTTTAGTTCCGTACCTGGTTTTACCTAAAACGAAAAACAGTAAGGTTAATATTACTAAAAGGTATCCTCGAGTGTCATAAGGTATAAAATAAATGTCAAATTAAAAAGACCATTGACCAATTATTGGACCAAGCAGGAAGCATTAGCTACTTTGGTGACTGCGCACATCTTAATTCCTTAATTTCTTGTTATCTTTATTTCTGACATTACTCCGTAAGGTACTTATACAAATTAAAATTCCAATATAAACATTATGTAAATAGCGTAAAAACAATAAAAACTGTAAATCTTTATTTCCCTTTAAAAATGGCTTTTTTCAAAAGTAGCTTTATTCACTTTCCTACTGTCTTTGTTATTCTACAGAGTCACGTTAATCCGCTAAAAAGTTTGAGGTTAGAACGCTGTTTTCTCGCGTTCCATCTGTGTATTTTTTCTGTCTAAATTAGAGGGAGAATCTTAAAATTAATAATTAAAAGACTTACACAAACGTATCAGTTCAGCTTAATCGTGTAGTAAAAGAGGGAAAAGTAACTGAGGCTCTGTCGCTGGTGTAAATGGATGAGGAATTGCCTTCAAGTTAAAAAATTTGTTGGGAACTGTGCATGTGAAAGTCGTTTACACAACAGAGCTGCTAATAACAGTCGGTCATAAGACGATGTCTTAAAGGGTGTTACGAAAACTAAGACCCTCGAAAACTAAGACCTAAGACCTAAGACCCGTCTTAGTTTTCGAGATTACGAAAACTAAGACCCCCTAAAATCAAATCCGTCGAAATATAAAGTCAAATTGTAACCGAAATAGGTCTGATCTGTCAAATTATATCATGTTCGATCCTTTCCACCAAGTTTTATGTCAAATTTAACGGTAAATTTAGGGGTATTAGTTTTCGTAATTTCGAAAACTAAGACCCCTCTTAGTTTTCGTAATTACGAAAACTAAGACCGGCACCAAAACAATCTCTAAAATTTCTACACTGTTGTTTTTATCATTGATGTTTGCCGCTTTTCATAACCAGTCTCCTCTAATAACTATGCTGAAATCGAGGTACCAGTCGACGATTTTGCGCTTTGAAATTTTCCTTTTTTTCATTGAACGAAAACGTTCAAAATATTGAAAATAATGAAAAATCTCCAAAATATTACACTTTCGTTCAAACTGAGTAAATCACCACTTAGAATGTGTGCAATTAAGTACTCTTCTGAATAAGTTATTTGTTGTCCACATTACAATGGATTTGAATTTTAATTTTTTTTTGTGACACATGGTCTCGGGCCTGGAAAACCCGGTCGGAGAGCCGCGAAACCAATAACCCCCCCGTACGTGGAAAATAATTATCGGATCGAAGTAAATATTACATTTATGTTAATAGCTTACCTAGTGCTACTTTGTGAATTTTTTTGAGGGTTTTCGATTTTTCACTTTTGTAGACCCCTGGTCGATATTTACTGACATCCGCTCTTAAAGAGTTTGCAGCTCTGTGGGGGCTCGAACATGTCACATCGTCTCCACTGTATGGACAGTCCAATGGCGAGGTCGAGTGGGCAGTGCAGACCATGAAGGCAAAACTTAACAAGTGCGACGATGAGTACCCGGTACTTTTGAAAAAAGGGAGGTGTAATATAAGCGCGGCCTAGTAACGAACCAAGACGCATGCCCAAGGCGCGAAGGAAACATGGTATGTGTGTAGTAAGCTCGTTGGACTAATGTCCTCTCTTTGTCTTCGCGCGTACGTAGAAGTACCCAAGTGTCTAGCACGCTTTGGCACATTGCTTGTAGGTAGCTTTAAACAACTGAATAGTTGAGTTTAAAACTTGGCTTTTTTATTTTTTGATCAATTGAAATGGATTGAAATTCGAATAATTGTCTCACACAATGTTCCCTCAAGCATTTAAAAAGACGTGGCGCTTGCTCTTAACATGTTAATCGACTCAGGATTTCAAAGGGAAATGTCATTTACTAAGAAAGAAAAAAATATTCTCACTTGTATTTATTTCACTTCCATCGTCTTACAAATACAAAAAAAAAAGCATTATTATTTATAAACCCACAACAACGCATGGAGTGCGTAACCAATTGAGTAAAAGACTCAGCGTGTCTTCAATATGAGCTGCTTTGACCGGTTTAACCACAGGCCGCCCAAACTCTGTGGGAGTTCGTTGGACTTTGAATTTACAAGAGACTGTATGAAAATAAACAAAATACGTCCTAAATTCCACTTTTTGACAAAAATAGAAATAAAAATGACTTATCTTGTGTTTTTGTTTTTGTTTTTTTTTTTTACTGTCTCTACGCCTCTAGAGCCATTTGGAAGCCGTTTTATCGACGTTTTAAGATTTGAGTTGTACTAACAGTATTAAGAAAAATGCAAAGGATGGGGACTCTAAAGCCGACAGTCTTAGCTCCAAGCGCCACAAATCCCCTAAAAATGGTCCAAACTCGCCAAAATTGCCGTCAAAGGATCTGTCGATAATTTGTGCTTCTCTTCTATGCTTCTGGAGTTTCAGACTTCATCACAACCGCTAGGGAAGCGTTTGATTTTAAACTTTTTCCATCAGAGTTTTCTTTCTCGGGATGCGTATGACCGGGCACGTGGACGTGACGTAATTAACGGTCGCTCAAAGCTTACGTCACAGAGACAATTTGCCTCCGTCCGGGAGAAGGCACAGTGCATCGCGAGTGTCATCGCGAGTAGCACGGTGGGAGGGTCTCTGGGTCCATGTGACTGTGACAAAGCGCGCCAAAACATCACGCGAGTGCCCGGCTAATTACACACAACCGAGCGACCGAGCAGTCTTCTTCGCCTTCTTCTTGGTCTTCGCTGGTTTTTTTAGAAAAATCCTTTCGCTTTCAATTTAAACCTTTTAGAATCTTTAAAACAGTCAGTTTTTTAAAACTACCCATTTCCTCTCGTTTTCATTAAATTTCTAAATTAAAAACAGCGCTCTTGGGCGCTCTAATCTTATTGACTTATCTTAAAGTTTTATGTAAATAGTTCTTATTTCAGAACTAAACTTTTGGTACATCTATCGCTAAGTATTTCTGTAATTTAATTAAATATCTGCGATCTGTATTTTTTTACCTTTATAATAGTTCTGACAGGAGCTAGTTACAAAATCAGATTTAATAGTACCTAAATGCACTGGCCCAAGCACTGGCCCAAGCTCGAAATATGAGCATCGGCGCAGCGAGCATCGGCATTGTTACGTAACATTCGAAATATAAGGATTTGTATGGGAAAAAAACCTATCGTTTCGGTAACCTACGAAAATGAAAGGATTTCAATGAAAGACAGCTTCCCTTACTTAGAATGTGTGTTACGTCTCTCCTGTGTAGTCCACGGGTCGATTTATGGCCGTTTTATGGGTTTTTATGTAAACGGTGTTCTCTCTTAAAATACAGCGAGTGATCGAGTGCCATTCGAGTGCCTCCAAAAGCCCATGGCATGACTACGTCATCCATGAGCTAAAAATGAACTTTGGAAAACCCTTGGCTAACAAGTACGTTCTCAAAAACCTTAATTGCAATCCGAAAGAAGGGGCAAAAAGTAAGCATTGTCGCTTGGGTATGATGAAGGAGAAATTGCAGTCAAGTTGAAGATTTCTTGAGAACCTGGTAATTTGCATATAAAAGTCATCCAAAAGATGGTCCCTTGAAAAATGCAGACCACTTTTACTTATAACTTTTCTTTCTTTTTCTCTCTCTCTTTCTTCTTTTTTTTTTTTTCGTACGCTCCGCTAGAGGAAAAAAGGAAGGCTATGGCTATGGAAAAAAGAAACGGGGAGGACTCAAAATTCGCGATATGAGAGAAATAGCTTTTAACTCTCTTACGTGACGACAATCTTGAGTCGTCCCCTGAAAGTTAGTCAAAATACAGTCTAATTACCCCTGTAACAATACAGGTTCCTATTATGTATTAAAATTGATGCTTAATAAAAGAAAGCAAATTTTATGCTTTTGCTAATTTGTGTATTTTTCATTTGATTTTAACTGAATTCAGCTCAATATAGATACTTTTCTAAGTTAAATGAAATTCAAAGTTCTTTATAACAATAAATATCACTGAATTGTGCTGTCAAGGGCAAAGAGATTTCTATTAAAACTGGGACATTATAATGACGGCCTAAGTTTCAACTCAGTGAATTTTAGCGAATAGGATAGCAAGCGCTTCCCGGCCCACTCGACACCTGTTCCGTAAAAAAGATTCTTTCTAAGGTATTTTCCGTTTAGATTGGATTTGAAGCAACCCCCGTACCACCAGGCACCAGTGTAAGACACAGCACAGTTACAAGTATAGAGGCATAAGTCGTTATCTCTGTCTTTTGTGCTAAACGCCATGTTATTATGATATGCTAACGAATCTCCCGCCGTCCCTGAATATGAACCCACTTCGAGTCGATAACGCGCTTGCTCATCACTAACGTTAAACTTGCCATATTTGGCATATTCTTTTACTCCATTCCAGTCTTCGAGCTCTACTCGCAAAGTACTGGGTCTAGCTGCCGTCAATCTATGGATCTTGTCGTTTCCTAACCAGAACTCAGCCGTCAGCTGACCAAAGCCTGATTTGTAATCGTTCCATCCGCGATAGAAGTCTACCGAGCCATCTTGTCTTCTCTGGAACACGGCCCATCCTCCACCATCAGTGCGCATGTCACAATATACATTGAAGGATCCCTTACCGTCCGGGTTCACAGAGTACACTCCACTCTGAGCATGGCCTGACTTTAGTAATGTTAAACAATCTCGATCTGAAATAATAAAGACAATTTGTACAAGCTAAAAATGTGTATTTTCACTCGAAAAAGAGACTAGTCTTCGACAAAAAGATAATGTTCTAGTATTTAGGGATCTAGCGCGTGAAAACGATTCGTTAAAGGTGTCAACTATTAAATGTGTGCCACCATAAAACTATGGGACTTTTTGTTGTACTTTCTTGTTCTCAAACAAAAATAAACGAAAATTTGCATCAATAATCATGCATGAATATTGCTTGAAATATGGTATATTGAGTAGCGAGGCGCACGATTGACATCATCAAAATTTGCCTCGCAAATTTGCAAGACTCAGACGAAAAAGATAAGGAATGGTGCAGAGTTTCAAATTCTGAGGTGGTCCCTTCATTCCGGTGGCACGAAGTGGACGGAATGTCGCTTTCCGTTTACGCATCTTCGCGGTTCCGAAAGATTTATTTGTGCCTTTTTGAATTCAAATTGTGAAGAAATAAACAATTACTAGCAAAATTTTCTGAAATGAAACGGCTAAAAGGTTATTTTTTGTTGTATAACAAAAGAGAAAAAAGTAAACCGCTCTTTTACCGTTGCTATCGTTTTAAGGTTCGGCTCGACCCAGTTTTTTTGGGGGGTACCATCCTACTTTGAAGCTCTCTGGTATCCCCACCTTTACTTTTATCGTAAGTCTAACACATAGAATGGATAACATATAGATCAATCTACAATATAACATAAAATTTTCGGCGATCGGAGTAAATGTCACGTGGTTATAATGCCACGCCCCTTTGATGTCTGAGTCGAAAATCTGCTGTTGCCGGCATTTTTTTGTGAAAATCTCTCGGCTACACATAGTGCGCATTAGTGCCTTGCGCTGAACATAGTTTAGCCAAAATCGCAAAGACCCAATTCGAGAAATTCAGCGGTTTCCAAATTTAGGTTATCATTTATGCAAAAATTATAAGCAAACTTTACACGATTATATCTAATAAACTACGAGATTCATCCCTTTATTTTGGGCATCGTTATAACAGATGGGTCCTTGCAAGTCAGCAAAACGCTTTAGGGCCTTGTAAATGCGCGCGATTTCGAGCAAAGCAAACATATAGAAATTATAGTTTTTGTTATTTGTTGACGTTTGTCAGCGTTTAAGAGTCCTTCTCACGAAAAAAGCATTTTCTTAAAAATTCGTATTTTTTTCCTTCAAATTTTTTCAGGGCCACAATTGATTAACTAACTACCCGGACTCTGAATTTCATGGTCATTGAGAAACTGTGACATTATCTTCTATAAGCCCAAACTTGAGTAAACATTGAAGATTTTTAGCGTTTTGCCTGAGTTTGTGCTTTGGGAGTTGTCTATTGATGTTTCTAGTCTGTCATTATACAGCATTCTTAAATGTTCAGCACGCGTGCAATGACCGCGCTTGGCTGACAACGGAATGCTCACCGAGATATGGATGACGCAAAATTTTTCTGGCAAAAAGTGGTATCGAAAAGGAAGATTTATAGTTGTAAAAGAGGGAAGTCGATATTGATAGTGTTATATTCATTTGTCACTCACTCACGACAATAGACGTCGTTTGACCAGGCTCTCCTTTGGTTCCCGACGTGCCAGCGGACCCTGTGTCTCCTTTTTGCCCCTTGAGTCCAGCATCGCCTTTTGGCCCTATAGGTCCCGTGATCCCCTTTCGTCCGCTCTTTCCTGGTGGTCCTATCATACCTCTATCTCCTTTGGCTCCTGGCACGCCGGTGAACCCTGTGTCTCCTTTTTGTCCTTTGGGTCCAGCATTACCCTTTGGTCCTACAGGTCCCATGATGCTCTTTCCTGGTGGTCCTATAATGCCTCTATCTCCTTTGGCTCCTGGCACACCGGTGAACCCTGTCTCTCCTTTTTGTCCTTTTTGTCCAACATCGCCTTTTGGTCCTACAGGTCCTTTGATGCTGTTCCCTGGTGGTCCTATAATGCCTCTATCTCCTTTGGCTCCTGGCACGCCGGTGAACCCTGTGCCTCCCTTTTGTCCTTTTTGTCCAGCTTGGCCTTTTGGCCCTACAGTTCCCATTTTGCCTTGCTTGCCGCTATTTCCTGGGAATCCCATAATCCCTCTATCTCCTTTCTTTCCTCTTCTTCCTCGGTCTCCTTTCTCTCCCCTCGGTCCTGATGGACCTGGGGGCCCTGGGGGGCCTGACGGACAAGAGTCACCCTTTGATTGACAGAGCTGCACTCCCGCCTCTGTCAGCAGTTTGTTGATTTTACTGAGAGTATCCGCTGTGACTGTAGCACTCTTTGTGTCGTTGGCCAAATTCGCTTGACGCCTAACTCTTTCTTGATCATAGGAGTAAAAGTCTGTCAGCAAAATAAGAAAAAAAAAGGAAAATTAGTGCTGAATTTGTTTAAGTTGGGAATGGTGCGTTTTCGGAATTTGAAATATAATTTAATAGTCAGTAGTAAGAACTTGATCGAAACTACTTTAGATAAGTTTTAAAAATTGTTAAGTTCTGCAGCATACATTACTACAAAAGGAATGCATATATGAAGTGAAGAAGGCAGCATTGCCGAAACGTCGGTCAACACTCTTTTCAACAGCGTCGATTTTACAGTTTTCAAATTAACATTATGGAGAATCTGTATAGACTTTCTCATATTGAAATATAGACTATCCTCCACAACTCCTGCCTCACTTAACTGACCAGCTGCAAATCGTCCATGATATTTGAATTGTAACGACTTTGCGGTTCTTCATTAAATCCCCTGAAGAAGGACGGCTTGTACGTGCAAAATAAGCTAAAATTATGGAATCTCAAGTCGTTTTGGGTCTTTGCTGTTTTGTTATTAATGCTTATATTTCACTCAACTGAGTATAACTCCATCCAAACACAAGAAATTCAGGAAAATAAAGAAAACCCTTGCGAAGAAAAAAAGAAAGGACGGAAGAACTTACACAACGTTCTTGAAAGCATTGACATAAAGTGACTCAAACGTCAGTTCGCGAATATACAAACGTTATGTCGTCCTACAAAAGCTATCATGTATATTTCAAGGTAAGCAGTTGGCAGGTGGCCTGTCCCGATTGTGCTCGACAACTGCCACCGACGTGTGGCGTTTGGAGCAACTTTTTGCGGTTCTCTCCAACCCGTTTAAGTCAAGTTTTCTTTCTGCACATATAAAGCACGAAAAAGTCAACGATTTCATAGAAAACTACGAGTTATGTGATTTTCTTGAACATTAATTTATCAACTTTTTCAACACCGTTTACCTGACAACGTGTCGCATAGTGAGTTTGAGCTACCTCGGGGTTAGACTTAAGTGTATCCTTTAATTAATTTTCGCCCATGTTTGTGAGCAACTCTGGAAGGCAGATGACCGATGTTAGCAACTGTGTTAAAGAACAAAAACTAAAGCTTTTAAGAGGGGAAGGAACGGTAGGATAAATCTCCTTCCTTTCTACTTTTTAGCTAATTTCTCCCTACTTTTTGGGGCAATTTCTCTCTCTTCCCTTTTGTTGGTGTAAAAGTTGGCGACAGTTAACACACGACTCCTGCACTTACAGGTGCTGATCCAGGATACATACTGACCGATTTCCTAAACGAGCGCCGAAAGGCGCAAGCTTTTAAGGGGGCCTGGGGACATACCCCCCCGAAATTTTTTTTATTTTAATTCCGCTAACCTGAATTTCTGAGTCATTTAAACATTTAGATATTGTCCAGTTCTATTCTACTAGGATGAAGCCTTTGAAATCAGCGGATTATTTCACCATGGTCAATTTTCATGTTGTAGTGGATATGGAGCAAGGCGAGTCCAAACCATTTTTCGGATTTCAACTTGGAAAGTTGAGGTTGTTTATCAGGAAAATCTGACCGATTTCCGTAAAACGGTGGAAACCGGTGTCAGTGGCTTAGTCGTAAATGAAGTTCTCGATCTGACCTCCAGTGCTTTGCCTCTACGCCAACATGCCATCAAAAGAGGGCGAGTAACCACAGCATGTCACGTATACGACGATTTTCATGGAGAGAAAGCCCCTATCTAAGAAAAATACTATATCTTATTTTAACAGAAAACTCTTTCCAATATTACGTTAGCAAGTATCTACAGACCCATGGAACAGCCATGGGAAAAAAGATAGCCGTTACTTTTGCTAAAATCTATATGGCCAGAATAGAAAACCATATATTGAGACAGAGTTGTACTGAACCTATTGAACCGCTGTTTTGGAAAAGATATATCGACGACTGATGTGTTTTCCCTATGGGAAATGTCTAGACAAAATAGAGAGCTTTGTGGAAAAAACTTTCACTCTACTACAAAATTCACGCCCGAGATGTCATAAACAGAGATCACTTTCTCGGACACAAAAATGTAGAAAGATTCAACAAGGTAGACGTGCAAACACATTGTTACACTGTACCAACACAAACCTTTCAGTACACGAACTTCTACTCGCGTCACCTACTTTTGCTAAAATCTATATGGCCAGAATAGAAAACCATATATTGAGACAGAGTTGTACTGAACCTATTGAACCGCTGTTTTGGAAAAGATATATCGACGACTGATGTGTTTTCCCTATGGGAAATGTCCAGACAAAATAGAGAGCTTTGTGGAAACGGCAAATAACTTTCACTCTACTATAAAATTAACGGCTGAGATGACAGAAACAGAGATCACTTTCTCGGACACAAAAATGTAGAAAGGGATTAGATTCAACAAGGTAGAGGTGCAAACACACTGTTACACGTACTGAGCCAACGCAAACCTTTCAGTACACGAACTTCTACTCGCGTCACCTACCAGGCGTGAAAAAAGCCCTGGGGCGGCGGGGCAATCCCTTATATGGACTATAAGGGGATGTGCTGCTGGACAGGGTATGGTTTTAGTCCTATCTGTCCTTAACAGGGTATACAATTTCGCACGAGTCTTTCCTAAACAGTGTGCATGATTTGTGCGAGTCTGTTCTAATCATAAACAGGGTGTTTCACGCACGATTGATTTCGTCCTAGTCAGAAGTTGTCCTAAACAGTGTACTAAGATTGAGGGTGTTGTCCTAAACAGGGTATGTATTTTAGGAATTTTTTTGTCCTAAACAGGGTTATAAACCCTTAGCGGCTCACCTATACCCAAATATTGGTCTAGTACCCCCTCCCCCCCGGGGAAGAAAGGTTTCATTTAAAGGAGAAGCGCTTAGGCTTCTAAGGACTAATTCTTCTCAAACCAATTTTGAGCAAAATATCAAAAATTTCGAAACTCGCCTGATAGAAAGACTCTACCCTGTCGCTATAATTGTCAGAAAGCACCGCTCTGAGGTAAAATTCGCCGACAGGAAAACACCCTTCAACAGAGAAACAAATCCGCACGTAAGAAACCTCTTCTTACACAATACCACCCGGCTTTACCTAGACTGAAAAAAGTACTAATGGGGAAATGGCACCTTATACAAAACCAACAACGGCTAAGAGAAATCTTTTAGGAGCCTCCCTCATATCATATCGCAAGGGAAAATCCCTAAAGGACCTATTAGTTAAAGCGAAGTTCTAAAGGTCACTAACTTCCTTTACGACCAAGTGCAGGAGTCGTGTGTTGTTCGTCGCCAATTTTTAACCCTGGTACCCTGAGAAGTTTCAAAGTTTGATTCCATTCGGTTACGTCCGACAAAGGGAGTCCCAGGAGACCCAAGGGGATCACAGTGTACGTCAAATTCCCCGTTCCCCATCCCTTGTCATCACGCAGGTTAAAAAAAGGCATAAAATTACCTTCTAATCGATATCTAGCTACTCCCAACATTTCATTTCTCCCTCCTCCCTACTGTTTTGGGCCATTTCTCCCTCCTTCCTATTATGCTCCTCTCCCCTCTAACGTTTATACATAAAAAACCAAACAAACAAACAAACAAACAAATTACGTAGCAACTTTTGAAATTTTAAGGTAGCAACGTCGGCAGGAAAAAGATTGATTTGCACAAAGATTGGTAAATGGCCGTTATGAAGCATGTATTTGATTACTGTGAAGAGTATTTATTGTCACTGACTAGTACTTGGTATGACTTTCCTAAAAAAATCACAATGCTCTTTGAAGGAATTTTTGACTTTGAATGATTTTCTCCTAAACATGTTGTGCCTAGTTATTGTTGTTGCTTGTCTTGTTAGCAAGAAAATGCATTTGTGGCCGGTTCATGGTCTTTACTATGATATCATCCGCCTTTCGTCGCAAATTAAAGCAATGAATCTCCCCGAAAACATTAATTACGTTGTGCATAATGTTTAGTAAGTCTAACCCAATTAGTTCTACTGTTAAATAGACTGTACACTGTACTGTAAGTGTAATAGCACATTTCTTGCCTTTATCTGAGACATACTAAGTGTTGTACGAAAGGAAGACGTTCATATGTCCTACTGCTTTGCAAAGGAAATGGCTTAACTCTCTCATTTGGTATCATCAGTGGTTTGCCATGGGTGAACATTTAACCATTCTTTCAGCGGCTTCAGGGAAAGAATTGAGAGACTTACCCTTTAATTAGACTGCATAAAAATCAATTCTCAACTGTGTCAAGATAATGCGAGTAATACGTACCGTGAGAATTCTTGATAACCTCTGGCTTGACATTTGGACCGCTGGATGGTGGGTCAATACTCTTCGCTACCTTTTCAAGCGAGTTTAGCCTCTTCTTGTGATTGTTCAACTCTAATTCAACTCTTAAAAACCCAACACAGTACAGAACAATACCTAATGCTGAGATGGTATTTGCAAACGAAGGAAATCTTTGCTTTGGAGTCGTCATTTCTAAGCCAGTTTCACAGCTAGTCTCAATGATGTTATGAAGGTTATGGTACGTGAGAGTGTTTTGTTGGGACGTACGCTTTTGCGTCGTTTATAGTATATCATTTTCTCACTTCCCATTTACAGAGGGCAGAGTTCATCACGTTAATTTCCGGGCTTATCTTGAGTGGATCAGATTATATCATGTCAACATTATACAAAGTTGTCTTTTGGGGTAAAATTGTTGGGTTAGGGGTGAGACTGGTGGGCAAGTTTTTTTGCTCGTGGAATTGAAGATCATTCACAACTATAATCGTATCCGGTGAGGTGTGCTCACAGCGATTTTCT